ACCAGGCACAGCATCACGAGGCACGGGGTCCTGCTGCTCCACGAGGAAAGCAAAGATCAGCTTCAATTAGCAAAGTGCCTGATTAGGCACAAGCCAACTCTGAATTCATGGACAATGGGAGAAAACAAGGGAGAGTCCAGCTTTGAGGATCCATCAGAGGAGGATGCTGGTGGCGTTTCAGCCTTGGGAAGAGCCCTGCAGAGGGACCATGGCTGCAAGCACGAGGTGCAGCCTTACTTGCATGGGACATCTGGGCTTTTCCACTAGTCCAGACTTAAATTGAGCAACTTTTAAGGCCACATCCCCTCCTTCAAGAGCAACACATGGCAAAAGGCTTGAGATACTTATCTAACACCTGCCCAGGAGAGCAAAAAACGTTCAGCAAAGGGGAGAATCTCCTGCCTGGATCACACTGCAGAAGATGCTTTCACCCAGTAAAGGAGTCACTTGGAGCGGACTGGCCCAGACTTGGAAAGGGGAAGAACAAAGAGAGGATTTTAGAAAGATGCCCATGATTGGAAATATTTTAATATGACTGAGTCACAATTTTTAGTAAAAACAGCAAAAAAAAAAAAAGCATTTAAAAATCCCGACTGGTCCCATTCCCACGGCCATGCATTCCATAGAAAAGTTACTGCAATTTTGTATTAAAAGAATAAAAAACGTTCTTCTACACAACACTCTGCTCTTGATATAAAAAGGCCTTTTTGCTTGACTTTTTTTTGTTTGTTTGTTTTTAAAAGCACGTGTTTCCTTTTCAATCCTCACTGCAGGAGCTTTTTGGTGTGTATTTTTGGAGGGGAACCCCATAAGCTGGGTTCAGCCAACCAAGCACCTGATGGGTGAAGACAGACTATAAGCACTGCTCTCCCCTGATGGGTGAAGAAGACATTTTTACAGGGGGTCTGCAATTTAAAAGAGAAAGAGGGCTGTTAGTCCTGCCTGAGAGAGAGAAACCATCCCCCCCCGCAGGGCAAAACCAGCATCGCTTCCCCTCCAGCATGGATCAGGACACAAAGCAGCACATGGGCATAAAACTAAATAGAGGAAAATGAAATAAAATAGAGGAAAATAAAAATAGAGAAAATAAAATAGAGAAAATAAAATAGAGAAAAATAAAATAGAGAAAAGCAAAATAAAACAGAGCAAAATAAGATTTAAAAAATCAGCTACTTCAGCTAATTGGGATTAAAAAATAATAATAATGATAATAAAATCAAGCTCTTTGCATCATTTCCACCGTTTTTTCCTGCAGGTTAGCTGGCATGGACGGCTGGAGGTACTGGGGGGTTTTGGGGAATCTACAGATGAAATTGGAGCCACAGCGTTGGCAGAGCAGTTAGTAGCGGTCAAGACGAAGTACAAGGAGGTGGAAGCAATTAGCACGTCGGCATCTGAAGACTTCACCGCCTGCTCCAGGGGACCCTGTCAGGGGAAGAGGGATTTGGACACAGCAGGCAGCCATCAAAATTCAGGGGTCTGTCCCTCTGTTACCTGAAATAGCTGCGCTGGGCACCCAAAATAAAAACAAACCACTGTTTTGTGTTCCAAGGCCCCTTTTTTGCCTGTTTTAATTTGCCCAGCACCATTTATTCTTCTGCTTAACAAGGCCACATACTTGTGCCTGGTGAGAAATAAACCCAGGGCAGATTTTAGCTGGCAGAGCTCAGCTGGAGCACCAGCAACCGGGCTCGAATCAAGAATTAATAATAATTAAAAAAATGGTGCTTTTGGGTGGCAATGAGGCAGGGGGGACGCTTGCATCCTGAAGGCATCCCTCTGCCAAAAGCGGGGTGCAGGGATGCTCAAGCCCCGGGTTGTGCTGGGTCTGATGGAGCTGGGCAGCAGCTTCATCCCGGGAAAATCACACACCGGCTTTGCTCCCCGCTCGCTCCCGAAAACGGCAGGAAAGGGGGGGGGTCACAGCACAAAGCGCTTCTGTGCAGCACACCCCCGCGGGACCGGCATCGCCCCGCTGCTGCCGTGGCTCCGCAGAGGGATGCGGTCCAGCCACCCACAGTCCTGGCCACCCCAAGGGGGGCCAACCCGCCCGGCTGGGGGGAGCCTGGCAACGACGGGTACGGGAGCTACCACCCCCCAAAACCCTCCTATTTTAGAGGAGGGTGTTGCAGAAGGCACTGAAACCTGGAGGAGGAGGAGGAGAAAAGTCTCATGGGGCATCCAGGGACCACGCGGGGTGGGAGCGCCGGGGTCTTGCCTGGTTTTGGGAGGGGAGGGAGGCGCTGGGCGGCAGGAGGGCAGGGTTGGGGGTCAGACGTACTCCCGAGCCGTCGAAGGCTGCGACTGCCGGTAGTACTGCTGTCCTCGCCGCTCCTTGGCGGGGGCGGGGTAGC